GGAGTTCAGTAAACTTCTTTTCCTGGAGTACTCTCAGTGCAAATGTAACACAGAGGTTTTAACTGGTGCAATAGCAGGAGGAGGAAAACAGGCATTCAGTGTTCCAACACCAACATGTATGTCCATGACCAAGTTTGATTTAAGCTATGTCTGTTCTTGCATATGTAATCACACAGTAATGTCCTTAGAAAGTTTCATATGTGATATACTACAAATACTACTAGCATACATATTACAACTGCATACGCAAATTGGAGGTAGAAATTCTAATGAATTAATCAAGCACTGAGGATCCTCACTTTTTGAGACCAGACATCAGATCACTGAGGAGCTGTAAAACCAAAAATATCTAGTCCCTATCGAAGTAATTAATAAACTAAATCTAAAACAGATTAAGTAAAAGACTAAGAAACCTGTAATAAAAATAATGGTGAGCACAAACCTCAAGTATTTTCAGTATATCAGAAGCCTGACTTACGATTCTGCACACGTATAATAAAATCTATGGCAAAGCGATGGATTTGGACGGGTAAAGCAGAGACTAACTACCTCTACAACTGTTTCCAGGACAACCAACCAGGCCCCAACAGATCCATAGGAAAAAGTTCAACCAACAATCAAAAACAAACAGACATCTTTGAGTGACAGGAGGTAAAAGTACATATTTCAAGAGTGAGTGGTATGATGGGACACCAGGCAAAGAAAAGCTCTGAAAACAACGTATTTCTTTTCAGTCTGACAAAAAGAGATAGCATCCTGACTTGTCAAACAATCAGGACAAAGCAGTTAAAATAAGCTGAGAAACAACTGCTCAGCAGGATTTTGGTTGGACCTCCATGGGAAAAGAATGCTATAGTATTTGAAACAGATGAGAGTCAAGACAAGAACTGTAAGCTCAAGCTTAACAGTTAACAGAACATGTTAGAGAATTAGGACCTCTCCTACTCCAGAAGAGCATAAATATTGAAGTTTTCATTATTTGGGCAAGATATGACCACGTCTGTAGATAATCAGCAAAAATCAAATGCTGAGAAAAGCAGACCCCTATGAAACCAATACACAAAACTGAACCAGAATAGAACATCATTCTGAAGCTGAAATCGTGATAATGGGACAGAAACAAAACAGTAAAAGAATATAAAAATTTAGAAGATACCCCACCATTAAACTAAGGTGTTCAAAGATCGGTAATAGGGGAAAGGAAACTAGGCTAAGAGAAATCAGAAGAAAAAGTGTTAACAGAAGAAATGCATAACATAGAAGAAAGAAAGATATGAGAGAAATATATTTTTTTGCCAGTGTAGAACAGAATGAAGGAAAGTCAACAAGACAAGAACAAAACCCGTATTACTACGTTCTGTCAATATTATCCTAGAAAAATCATCAATATTGAGGAAAGACAGCAAAATAGTTGGAGGAAGATCTGCATGTTTCAAGAAATTAAATCATGATGGGTGGCATGTAGGTTGTAAAATACACTGGGTTAACTTAAATGAAAATTTAGTATTGTTTAGCTGCAAAGATAGCAGAACTGATGAAGGAGAGAATAATGTGAGCACAGAACGTAAGTTCTGACATACCAGTGGAGATCAGGAAGCGGCTTTTGGGACTGATAATCGTGGCAGTGAACACTGTCAACCGGGAAGCCATCTGATGACTGAGTAAAGGATGCAGGTGCTGGAAATTACTCAGAAGGAGGTGAGAGCATTTAGAAATCTAAGAGACCACTACATTTGAAGAATTATATGTGCCTTTGATAAGCAGAAGCACTGAATCAGAGATATTGATTTAATAAAAATAGGTCTTGATCAAGAACTATGAAGCAGAAGTTATCCTAGCTAATTTGAGAATTTGAGATACCATCAACTAAGGAAGACCTAGAAGTCTTAAGTAAAACACAAAGGGCTTGGATAGGTAGTAGCCAATGAAAACAGCAAGAGATTTGTAAAATAATCATATTAAGTAACAGTGTAAGAGGCAAAAACTTAGGAAATACTATCTGGATTTGTGCTGCTGAAGACTTAAAGAATGGAAAAAAGACAAAATACATCTGTAATTTCTAAAATGTGAATGTAACAAAGAAGTCAGGGGAAAAGAGAAAGAAAATTATGCACAAATTATGCACATTTGAACGCTGTCAGGCAGAAAAGGACCAGTATGAATGGCACAAGTTGTCAGTACAAAAAACAGAATTAAGAAAAAAAAACCAAAAAGATGTGAAGCAAACAGCAACTGCAGCCATGAGAAAAGCAGTGTTTCTAAGTGAGAGAGGAACAAAATAAAATTACTAAAATGGCAAAAAAAAAAGCATATAAATGTTTTCCTACCATTCCTAATGAAGGTGATTAAGTTACACACATCACAATTATTACACACATCACAAATATTACAACCAGTTATATAATCCATCTGTTTCATAATTACAGGATAAAAATATTCTGAGATATTCAACATAAAATAACTTTCACATTTTCTTTTCTAGAAGGTTCAAGAAACTAAAGTACAGGCTGTTAGAAGAATCTCTAGTCAAATTTCTTGGTAGAACCTATTTTGTCAAGGTTGTAATCATTCTATATACTCCTGTGTTTTGCAGCATCAACACCACAAAACCGACAGCTTTATAAATAAAATTAACAGAAATAACTGAAACTACTGCCGATTTAGAAATTAACCAGATCCTACCACTGTTTAGATTGGTCTGGCTAATCCTTACTATAAATTTTTCACTGTTCATTGCATGATACATGGTCATTTCATGTAGTCAGAAGTGAAAACTTCAGTTACCATGGAATCAGCCCGACCTTGTGCAAGTAAGGAAACTTGTTTCACATAAACGTTTCAAAAATTTTAGTACAAGTTATTTGAGTCCTCTGCTTGCTTATGCTGTTCTTCTAGATGAAGTTTAAAAGGTACCTATATTTAACAGGCTCAGCATCTATATGAGTAACGTATGTCAAACACACAAAGTACTTTACACTTTTACATAAAATTCAATCTCCAGTGGCAGTGATGCTAACCCCACTCTCCCCTACCCCTGCCTGCCATACTACTGTGATACTGGGTTCATTGTAAATCTAAAAAAAGAATTTAACATAAAATATTAACAGCTCACAAAGTGCTGTTTTTACTATACCAACATTCAGTAAGCACTCATATCAAGCTGTTCACTTTTAATCGTTTTAGAACATCAAAGATTAACCCTAATATCTGAAAATAATGTAATCAATACAAAAAAAATCAGGTCTTTGAGCAGCTGGAGGAAAAAACAACAACAACAAAAAAAACCAAACAAACAAGCAAAAAAAAAAAAAAAACAAAAAAAAAACCCACCAAAAAAAAATAAACCCCAGACCTGGTCTTTTAATTCAGAAATGCCATCTCTTGAGCTAAGTCACTTTGCAAACATTACATACTTTCAGTAGAATGAAAATGACAGATTGCAGGAAGAATGGACATGATTGGGAAAAATCTGAAGTTAGCACTTCAAAACAATTGGATTAATCACTTCTCATCTTTACCATTACTGTGCCAATTACATGTTGAAAATACCAACTTCAGAAAGCTTTGATTAGCTGTTTACTTCTGAAAAGACTTACAAAAGTTGGTTCTTTAGCTGTTCTGCAATATAGGCCAATTAAGAGCAAGGTAATCTACATAATTTCTCTATCAGATTTCAATCACAAGAAATGGTGACCCGAGAAGGTAGAACTAGGTAGAGGAAATGCTAACCAAAAAAAAAAAAAGTGTGTTTTATGTTCACTCTTTCTTCCAAACACAGGTTTAATAAAAATAATAATCCTTATTTTCAGTTTCACTGTCATAAACATCAGAGGCTTAAGTGCTAAGCTTTCCAATCATCCCAGTTACTCTCTAATGTATGACTACCACCTAACTACTTTTGGCCCTGAATCTGGGTAAGTCAGATCACCAGAATTCATCCTAACCTAAGGAAAATTTCCATTTCTTTCACCATCTCCAGTAAGTTTTATGGCAAAAAAAACCTCACAGCAACTAGGTAATTATGACTCTTTGAAGCTGAGATGTACCACAACTGATTTTGACCTAAAAAGAAATACCTCTGGATTCAAACTTGAAGAAGCTTTAATACTGTAATCATCACTTCTAAAAACCAAAAAAATTTCTACAGAAATTTACTAGAAGCAGAATGCATTGATAGTGTTCCACCCTGTGCACGTCAGTTTGAAAAGTTGTTTCATTTTCAGGTTTAATGGGAAGACAGTACAATGGTGTGGGAGCACTATTCTCAATCACCTTATGACATTTTTGTTCACTGAGCTCTACAAAAAGTTTTCTCTAAAGATTAAACTCAATTTTAGAATTAATTTCTTTCATCAGATTTTTGTTTGCTTTGATTGAAAATCTGTGTAGTAATGTCATTAACATTTCTACCAAGAACTGATTTCTAAGACTTAGAAGGTCTAATGAAGACTAAAGGTACTACGTGGGAGACCAATACTGTACAAGGCCTCAGAATAAGAACAGAAATTCTGAAAGCTGTGCTTTTTTATAATTAATTTTAAGAGGAAAGGATTTAAAAATTACACATTATCTAAGACTTTTTCACCACTGGGCTCCCTTCTCAAGTACAATCTCCCACACTCAAGTAAAAACTACTACTTGTATTTCAGTAATATCAAATGGTTTTCCAGACAAGGTGAATACAAAAGGAACCAAGAGGACACCAAGACAAACCTAATACCAGGTTAGAACAGAACTGCAAAAAGCTGAGAGATGTAGAGTAACTAAACTTTCCAAGAGCACAAAATTGAGACAGTAAAAGCTACAACTTAGAGGAAGACACATGAAGTATTCCTGACTATTATATCTGATTTATCTTTGCTGGAAACCAAAAGCTTGTATCAAGCAAATGTGCACACAACATAAAAATTAAGAACACTGTTGTCTATTACTGAAGAAACTGGAAAAAATATCTCCATAATTTACAGAAGACATGAAAATGCATAAGCAATCTCACTCACCTGTCTTCACTAAAACGTCGACCAACCAAAATTTTACACTTGTCTGGTGGAAGACAAGCTGCTAGCAAAGGCACCGTCCTTAACACTCGACTTTCCTGTAAAAAAGAAAAGTTACTTTTGAATAAAATCAAAGAGGGCTTCTATGAATTGTTAATGTTTCCATCTACTTTCAAGTTCTTTTGACTATGGACACAGAAAAAACTTACCAGATAACACACACACAAAAAATAAATCTACAAGAAAAAAATACCCAATTTTGGTGCATTCAAATCCTATTGTTTTGATTGACAGTATTGAACTTGGTCTTAACTAGCCTATGATCATCAGCATAAATTTCAACTGGGCTATCAGTATTAAAAATGACAACGAAACTTCACAGAATAATAAACAGTAGGCAAAAAACAGCATTAGTATTAATTATTACATTAACCTATTAATATAATAGGTTTGGGACCTAATGTCTCTATATTGGAAAATGAGGGGACAGCTTAATTTCCTCGAACAGGGGCTAAAATAAAAGCTGTGAGTGCATCAGAAAAGACAGCATGAAATATAAATATATCTGCTCCGTTGTCACTTCACAGTAACCAGGACAACAGCAGCAACATTGCCACGACTACTCCATCTTGCGCTATACAGGCTGTGTTCACCAGGCACCTGCCTACACCTTTGTGCCATTGGCGAGGAAGGTGACTACCGGGCCTGGGTGAGGAGCTGGGGCTCTTCAGATCTCAAAGAGCATTAAAAAGAGCTGTGCTGGAGCAGAGCTTCAGAAAGTGGAGGAAGAGGGAAGTACTGCCAGCTAAAGCAAACCACCTACTTATGAAACAGAAATTTGCTTCTGTCCTTCATTTAACACAGCCGGGAACATACTAGTTTTTGTCTAGACAAGAAATATTGCAAATTTAGGATATCAATTTCTGGTTTTCTGTCAGGGAAGAGGAATGATAGTTTTATCATGCATTTAATGAAGACAGCAAGCCAACACAGAAAACTGAAGGAAAGTTTCTGTTTATTTACTTATCACAAGAGGAATAAAGGAAAGTTATTAGCTGAATTTAGCATGAGAAAAGACACTAGAGGTCAGCTGAAGATTATGAAAGGCCTAAACCCAGTTAGAAATGAGTTCTTCCAATATTCTCAACATGAATGTCTCATGATTCAGACAATGAAAATCCAAAAATCAGTCCCTAAACCACAGGATTAAGTAATGAAAACCAAGGTGGGGGGAGGGAGGGGAGAAAGGTCCATCTTTTGATTTATGAGCCATATATATAATTAATTCAGTATTTGTGAACACATAAGGCCTTGATTAGCTCTCACACTTCTCCCTGGGTGGCTGTTACTTTCCACAAGTACAATGTGCAGCTGCCTGGGGTTCTCACATTGTCTTGCTAACAAACTGCTGTTAAATTAGTTCTGTGAAGACTTTTATCACTGCTGCCTAAAACCTTTATTAATAATGTTTTTTCTGATCCACATAAATATTGATATAAGTACTGCTCCTCCATAAATGAAACATCATGGAGTTGAGGGAGTAAGTTGTCCTGCTACATTCAGCACCTCTTTGCACGGCAGAAGTATCATGATGTCTCCTAGGGACAGATGAAGATCGAAGTACCTGGGGAGCGAAGTGTTAGCAACGGGAAGGGAGAAACATCCTTCAAACTACCATTAATTTCTTCTATCTCAGCAAAGTGGAATAAGTCATCAACAGTGGTACAGTATTATTTGTCTTTATTTTATCCTAATTAAATAACACTCCAATTCACTAGTCAGAAGACTCCCTTCTGCATAAGAAGTCACAATAAAGGATACTGGAAGAAAACCAGTTATTTGTCTCTGATAAGCAAAACCAAAAGAGCTATCACCAGTCAAGGAAAGGCATTCAACTGTTCCCTCCAATGTCATCTCATCACTTCAGAACTACCTTTCATGTGCAATAAATACATTCTCTTCCAACAGGGAAAATTGAATTTTCCTACCTAAAAAACAATCCATGTTTATATGAAGATAAAACATAAAATTCAAAGCTGAAAGGAACTGCTTGAGAACAGAGGTTTAAGAACAGCTAAGTCAAACTGACATTAAAAAAAGATTTCATGTCTTTATAATTTTCTTCATTAAAAACCATTTGTATTTAACCAGACTACATATAACCTGTTTGTTACCATATCAGCTATTTTTCATTCACTGGAGCACTTTCTCTCTCCTTTGTTCTTCTCAGTGTTCTAATAGTGATATGCAATTCTTTGTTTATTCATTATTTGGCCATTGAAGTACAAAAATAAGAAATAGCACTGGAGGATTTATGTTGTGGGCTGACCTTGCTTGGCCTCCAGGTGCCACCAAGCCACATTATCACTGCCCCTCCTAAGCATGATGGGGGGAGGGGAGGAAATAACATGCAAATGAACTCATGGGTCAAGATAAAGGCAGTTCAATAAAGAAAAGCAAAGGCCATATGCGAAGCAAAGGAAAACAAAGAGACCTTATTCTCCACTTTCCATCAGCAGGCAATGTCCAGCCACTTCCTGGGAAGTAAGGCCTCAACACATGTAGCAGTTGCTCCAGAAAACATATGCCATAATAATTAATGCTGCCCTCCCTTCCCCCTTCTTCCCCCAGCTTTTATTGCATCATATAGTACAGAATATCCCTTTGGTCAGCTTGGATCAGCTGTTCTGGCTATGTCCCTTCCTAGTCTGTTGCCCACCCCCAGGGCACCAGACTTTGGAGGAAGGGTTTGGATGGAAAGCCCTGATAGCACCACTCAGCAGTAGCCAAAATATTGGTGTGTTATTAACATTGTTCTAGGTACAAACACAAAGCACAGCACTATAAAGGCTGCTGTAGGGGAAGTTAAGTTAACTCCATCCCAGCCAGACCCAATACAACTTTTGCATTTATTTTTTTTTCTTATCTAGGAATTAGTGGTACTTTTTGTTACCATAGCAATATCCACCTACAATGAACCAGAGAGTTCTAACTAATAAAAATATTTATTAAATCCAGCAGATATACTCCCTCCATTTTTATTTATGAATTGTCAGGATAATTAGCAAAGCTTTTCCCCTTATATTTGATTCTTACTGTTCAATAAGGTATACTATACAGAAGAAATACTATAATGAGCAATTCAAAGCTAATTACTTGCATTAGATCGATATATAAATTCATTAAATACACACAGTCTAAGTTTTCTTCTCAGATGCTTAACGCTGAAAATTCTTACATTTATAGAAAGAAGGCAGGGGAGCAGAACAACCTAAACAAATACTCTCTTCTATGCTTTAAGGGTTCAGTTCTCAGTTATAGCTATCACTCAGGTTTTTAAAAGCACATAATGCCCTACACTCTGCTAGCAATAACTCCAAGGACCATAAAAGGCAAAGGTAAGACAAATGTATACAGGGGTTTGTACACCTAGTTCTACCACTGGCCTGACATGAGGTTCGTAACAGTATGTATGAGAAAGAGAAAAGTAAAATAATCTTTGCATATAACTATATGCAAAGAAGAAAAAGAGATTAGGCTCAGCAAATAACTTCTTCACCCTTCCACTATTCCTGATATTGGGCTTGGGATGTAAAATGGAAGCTAGATGGTAGGATTCCTCACTTGGGACCCACTGCTCTGCAATGAGTGAATGCTCTCTGTTTCACAGTACCAGATACCTGCACGGGTCTATCTGGCAGCATGGCCTCTGGATAGTAAGAATGTGAAGAGACTGTCACATTAATCATAGCACAGAGACTTTCTACATTACTATCTCAGCTGAATACAGGTCTCAGTAGCACCATTTGACCTTAGTTGGTAGCTTACTTCACGGCACTGTGGACTTCCAAAGACAATAAATAATGAAACACATGTAGGATGACAGCACTAATGTGCAGTAGGGGAAAGACATTTACTCTCTGGTTAGTTTAATGAGATACCTTTGAAATGGACTCTTAGAATCTTCCTGTAACAAAATGGTAGACTAAAGGATGAGATACAGTCCAGAAGGCTTATCTGCCTTCAAAACTGTATTTTGAGTATGAGCAGCTACAGCAAAGGGAATCTATCTTTTGTCATCTATGCCTCAGCTATTCTGGAGTCGAAAGCATCACCTATGATCACCTAAGACAAACACTTGTGGAAAAGTGGCATCCCATTTTAACAGACAGCTCTTGTGACTGCTGATTAATAAAAAGTGTAGATATCCTCTCAGAAGGACACAGGAATGGTGTATGAAATCTAAAATGAATCTGAAAACCTTTTCTAATAACTTCGATCATGAACAAGAAATTCAACACAATTCAAATGCCAGTTTAAATACCAGTCCCCTGGCATACTCTTAAACCTTTTTTCCAGCAAGTGATTTAGGCACATACTCAAGTACTTTTGAATTACAAAGTAACACAAAACAGGATTCTGATTATAAGTAGCCAGCTAAAAATCACAGCTTTCCCATTCAGGGACCACGTATGTCACGGCTTCTGTTCTGTTTCCCTGCAAAAGATCACTTCAACTTGCTCTTTTACATTTTCCTGAATTTTCTTGAGGCAAAGACCTTCTCCATGGTGACGGAGCTACTGTTAAGTAAACAACTGGATCAGAAGACTACAGGTTCCTGAACTTCACAGTCTAATTTGTAGACCCACCATCTATCCAGATCTGTGTAACTGCAGTCCAACTTCTAAAGTCCTTTTGATCCACTACCATACTCCATTATTAACAAGAAAACATCAACATAAATTCTCCTATTAGGTAAACCAAAACATACAGTTTGAAGCTTAAATATAATTTTTCAATGGCTAAACAGCTAAGGTCATCACTAAGATGCACTGCTTAATTAGTATTTTTTACAGAACAGTAATATCAATAAAAGACCACTACTATAATCAAAACCCATTCATCTATGAATCAATTCTGAGCACCTGAATGAGACATCATATCATGATTAATTCTTGCAACTTGTACCAAGGCAGGCAGACTTCAGATCCTAGCAGGACTATTCATATAAGAAAAGATGTCTTGTATGCATGAAGGTGCAGAAATAAGTTATGATTTCAGAAGGTAAAATAATTCAGATGAACTGAATAAAAGATACAATAGGTGAACTGGCATTTCAATCATCAAGTTTAAAAAGAAAATCACTACATGATGCTAACAGCACAGCTGCTTCCTCTTGCCTACCTTTTGCTGCATTACGATTCTAGCTGAACTCCAACAATTACCACAACCTTACTCACCTCTGCTGGATGCTGAATTATATACAAGCAGGTGGAGACCTTCAGCGGATGTATTGGCAGGAACGGACATAAACACACCTTCTGGGGACGGCTACACGAAAGAGGGGAGTGAGAGAAATATAAAAGCAATCAGCAATTTATGTAAGATGGGATAAATACATTGCACAAACACACACTGCATCCCAGGAGACACACTAAGAACTTCCCCTTATGACACAGTGTATTAAACCCAATGTAATTTTCTGTTTGAAACTCCTCTATTTCTAAAAATAAAGCAGCAAGATTTTCATTGAAATGGAGTTTTGAGAGAAGTGTCCAGACCCCTCCTGTGATCTGGTTAGGATTAAAGCACTCCAAAAATCCTTTCTTCATCTTCAAGAGAAGCAACTTGCTAATATCCATACCCCAATCAGAGAAGTCTGTTACTGCTCTCCATATCGAGTTAGTGTTTCAACAATTTGATAAAAATATAATAGAATACATAATATTTATAATTGATATAATAGATTAATTACAATAGATAATTTAGACGTATACACATATTTACTTCACATAGAGCATGAAACCCCATCATGCTTTATGACTGGGTTCATTTTTTATAATACTATCTAATCTGAAATATGCAGTAGACATATAGCATAAAAACAAAATGTTATCAGAAACTTCTAATTTAAATATGAAAAAAAATATTTAAAATTCTTTGATGTACTGCATGTAGCTGTTAAAATTACTAGCAGAAGAACTATATGAAGTTAACTCAAATATTGTTTGGTGTATTTGAGTCACTATAGCTACTCACATATTTTATTCAGTAACTTAGAAAAATGAAGTTTCCTTAACAGTGAAGCTATTACCACTTAAAGTCATTCCGATCCTGCAAAGTTCTCTGAGTCTGAAAAAAAATAAGATTAGGATTTTCAGCAGAATGCTAGGGATTCAGAGCATAACTTCAACTGCATCCTCCTTATATCTTTACTGGTAACAGTTTATATGTTGATCACACATGACAGACAGCAAGCAATCATTGTGACCTACAGAAATGAACTCTGAAGACAGGCTCAGATCGAGTCCATGATGAGCCCAACTGACACTGCACTTGCTCTTCAACAAGAGCATGCACCCACCCAAATGTATTAAATAATGTTACAGTAATCCAAGACAGTATAATTGTTCCCTCATCAAACACAGTACTTACTAGTAAATGGCAGCATTATAAAAAGGCAATAACAATAGATAAGCTCCTCTTTAATAGCTGACAGGTTGTGTTAATTTGAACCTCCTACTTCCAGCCCCAGCTACTGAGACACAGAGACTATTTCCTTCTCCATAGGGTATGTAGTTAAAAGTTACTCAAAAACAGTATAAATCCAAAACAGTGTTGATGCAAGGGCAGGAATTGGTACTGTTCAAAAATAAGCACTGGAAAAAGTATTTTAAAATACTTAGAATAAAAGGCCCATGGCCAATAAATTCGCTTAATGACAAAATGGAAATTTTTCTCTTAAACTCTTCTGCTAGACTGTTCCAGTAGCCTGCTGTCTGTCTTTCCTTTGCCCTTCTAATGCTGGCATTTTCCTGTTGCTAATCCTGCAGAAATTTGGCACATTCTGCTGTCTAATGGACAGGCTTTAGCCTAAAATTAGGCATTCATTAATTTCATTATCAGGCAGGCTATTCTGGGGATCTTCACCGTGAACAAACTGAAACCAACCTTGCTTCCAGGTCCAGTGGGTTGTTTTCCAGTGCAGTACCACTGCCTTTTTTCGAAAAGTTTATCACATTTAACCAATTTAAACAGAAGTTTCTGATAACACTTTTGTTAACAACCTGGAAACAGCGAATACCCCCAGAGACTGTTCGTTGCCCATGCCCAAATTGTTAAGCAGAAGTTCATCCTCTTTTTGATCATCAGATTTAGTCAAAACACAATTTTGTACTAAGTGTGATTCCTTAAGTTCCCCTGTTATTAAATGGCTGGTTTCAACAATAAGAGAAGTTGTTAAGGTTTTACCCATTATAGCTTTTTCTACGGAGGAGAGATCAAGGCATGAAAAATCTACTACACAAAGCTGTTCCAAAACAGTTAGCTGGTGACTGAAATCCGAAGAGCTGCATTGTTCACTAGCTGTTATAAGCAGACGGAAACAGTTTCTGGTGATTTCTGACCTCAGGGTGTTTAACAAAGCTGTCTAGACACAACTTACTTATTTTCAACTCTCCCATTTGCATACGCTTTTTGTATTTTCCACACTGGTTTAGTTTTTTCACAGGTAGTTTTTTAAGCTATGTTAAACTCACCCAAAAAAATAAAAGCACAAAGTCCAAACCAAACAAGGAAATTACCCAGAAAGCAAGCATTTTCAAATAGTTACAGAATAAAATCTACCTATAATTTGATTTGTAGGGAGCAGAGCACAAACCATGGCAAATAAAATACTTTCCAATATAATTTAATTACTTACATATGCACATACATTAACTTAACTTTACGGACCCAATTAGGTATCTAATTATGCTGAATATGTACTTTTACAACCCCATCCTGGCGGCACAAAACTTATTTCTGTACTTCTACTTTGGGGTTATTGTGCCTCAACAAAAAAAAAAAAAAAAAAAAATATTCCTACATGAAACTGACATTACCAGCCTACATCAGTCAGATAGGAAGCACTGCAGAACAAGAGAAGTTCTGTTTCACCACCACAAAAACCACTTTTGCTCTGAGAAGGGCTACTAGGCCCAAAAGGATTTTTGTCTTTTTCTTTTAAGATTCTGTTACAGCCTTGCCCTACATACACATCTGATGTTACAGGAGAGTAGAGGCATCATCAGAAAACTTATTTCATGATGAACATAATTTTCTCCCATTTCTGGAAAAAAAGTAGCAATCGGCTCCGGACAAAAACAGTAGTATTCAGAATACTAAGGGAAAGGTTTGCAAGTGGGGATTAGGGTTTGAAGGAGGATAATTTTTGCAGTATTCACCTGTATGCAATTTCACTATGGCTCAAAGCTATCTAGTGGGTTCTTACATGTTTCTCAATACAGCACTTCTAGTTTAAAAACTTATGAAAAAGTCCTCCATCTGCAAAAGACACCCATGCACAGACTTCTCATAGTTTTCTTTCTGTTATTCACATTTAAATTAATGATGTTCAGATTCAGAATAACATTTACTCTATCCTCTGAGCAAAACTGGACAGTGGACTGTGCTGTACTGTGGTGTCAGGTTTAGTGTATTTAGTAGTTTCTGGGCAAAGATACTCTGAAAGTGAATATACAGCAGCCTGGAAAGTACTGAGCTAATTCTGAAACTCTTTCCAAGTCTCTGTATGATTTTCCTGCAAATATAAACTGATTTTCCTGCAAATATAAACATCCTCATTTGTTGCAGGGCTTTTACCTTGTTACAACATGTCTGAAGGGTTTCCGAAAATAGGCACCATTCAGGGAATGCAAATGTGTGTACTCTTTCACTCATATTCAGAGAACTAAAGGCAGATAATTTGAGGATTTAAACCCAAAGTAAGCAAAGAATAACAATGTCACAATTTTATGCTCAGCTTTTGTAGAGGTTTCTAGGGAAATGTATAAAGAGGTTAAGTGTGCCGAGCAGATGTTCTAGAAACAATGCTTGGAATATTAAAATAAAGAGGAAGCTGTTGTTTTCAAACTACTATCATTTGTGGCAACATTTTCATGTTCCAACACATATTGCCAAGGTCAGGCCCCAGACACTCTATATTCAAAGAAACATGCTTGCCCAAACAGAATTGGCTGCTTCAAATAAATTAGATTCATCTGTTGGTTAGGTCAAAACACCAAGGGTTTCAAGGTCAAAACCCACCTGAGAAGTCTGGAGTAAAGCCACAAAGTTACCATTTGTTTGTTTTATACTGATGTTTTAATACAGGTTTTATACTTACCCACACATGCAATAAAACAACATTCAGGAGTTTTACAAAGCTGTGTTGGAAGTTTAAAGGGATAAGCCTACATAGTTTATAAAATTTAAGAACAAATTTTATTTTTTATAGCTTTATGTTAGAGGACAAATACAAATTAAAAATGGTTTTAAGATTAGATTTTGCATCCTCCACCTTGGCCACTACAGCTGCAGAAGGACCTTAAAAGAATGAGTGAATTAGCACAGATAAACACAAAATGATGCACTTAGGAAGAAACAACCCTGACTCAAGAAAACCCCACAGTCTGAGGTTAACGTGGCATGACATTCAGGAGTAAGACCTTATGATAAGCAGTTCTGTGAAAATGGCAGTTTAATGCCTGGCAGTTCTCAAAAATGCAGATCAGATATTAAGTGTTACTAGGAAAGGATGAAAGAAATTAAAAAGGGAACATTACTATGCCACTACATAAACCTTTGATTTGCACTTTTACTGCAAAAAAGGTTGGAGAAGCCAGGTCAAAAAACAAAAACACTAGGAGTAATTCCTCATGCCAAGGCCCACAGATCTCTTTGATGACTGTATTGTGGATAAAAGTCCTTTCTAAATTTATATGGTTTCAAGGGAAACCGGGAGAATTTGTGAAATAAGAATCCATCAGATAGGGAAGCACCACTTCTGAAGGTACAGAGCCACAGCCAACATGTTAAGTCCCCTGAGCTAAAGGCAGACAAGTATCAGCGTGTGCTTACCCTTTGCTGTGGAAATGAACTTTTGATATGCTCTAGTATGATCATTTTTCTATTCTCAGTCATGCTGCACAATTTAAAACGAAGGTGTATAATGCCAGTTGCAGTGCCTTGAGATTACCTAGCTGTAATTTTTTACTTTTTTTGTATTTTAGCTCTGAAATTTGTCTGTATGTACTTCTGCATTTCCCTGGGCAAAATCTTACAGCTCCTTTGGGGTAGCCTTCAGTAACTGACAGGCCTTACAGCCATCTTAGAAAGAATTTGCTGAGTATACTATGTTTCAGCTTTCCCTCACTTTATGGCTACAAATAATGTGACCTAATGCCATTGCCACAACTTTCAAGGAAGAGAAGAAGCTGGCCCTGTTAAGTGAAAACGACTCTCTCTTGCACTGAACAGAAGTGAAATAATGGATTACTTTGTCCACCACAAACCGAGGGTCAGTGCAACCATGAGGAGAATTCAGTATTCCCTGTAGTTCCGCTAATAAGCACAGATACTGCAAGTAGAGCCAAACTGCCGTGGTCACCAGCTGAACTGTACATTAAAGACAGGCCTAAAGTTCACTCTAGCTAAGTCTACTCAGAAAACTTTAGATTTCTGAAAACTTGCCCATGCTCCGATCCTAATAATTATGAGTCAGATTTAAACTAGGAACACCATCACTGCTCTCCCACATCACTGCTTTGCTGATCTGCTTTGTTAAATGAAACTGATACATTCTTTTAAACTACTAAGAGGAAAACTGTGAGCTATAATACTGAAATAATAAATGAAGGAATTACTTGGAGTTCTCATTCGTCTTTTGTTTTAAAATTGGACAGGATGAGCCAATTCAGCCCTTAGCACTGCTTCAATTATTATGAGCTGGCCTTACTTCTCAGTAGCAGGCAGTTTGTAAGCCATGTGGCTGGGCAATTTTAAGGCACTACAAGATGGGTATGTAAGTATTTGTCACCACTGTAGTGATAGAAGTCCTTTAGTCTCATGCTCAGTTACCCAGGAACACAGAAATAAAAAATACTATCTTTGCCATACTTCAGATTTAATTATGAAATTTACAGTCATAGTATTTTGTTGTTCCAACTCTCATGCTTGCATTACTGTACTTTTAAGATGTCTACTACTATCCTCATAACCACTGAAATCAACTAGCCTACAGAAGACTGACTAGCACAGATTAGATCAAGAAATAAAAACTTCCCAGGAGGAAAATGTGATAGAAGCTCACCTCTTTTCTTAGGCTCAGTTCTCTAATTACATGCCCACCAACTCTTCAATTTTTCTTTAAAGTAAGTTTTGGAAAGCCATCTTTCTGGAAAAATGCTACAACTCTCACAAAATGCAGAGGAACTCAAGGAGCCATCAGCACTAGTTTCTTTTAGGCTTATTCTTTACTCAAACAAAATTTCCAAGCCTTAGTTCAATGGTATTTCCTGGAAAAAAATCAGGCATGGAAGATTATTCTGACTCAGTTGTGTTGCAGCTTCCATTCTTTCCTCCAGCCTCTTTCAAAAGACTTTGGAACTCCCTGGTAACAAGGCATAAAAATTTAAAATTACATTCTTACAAACTTCATTAAGAGGCAATAGCCACAAAAATTAAAACCACAGTATCAGAAACACATGTGGAGAGGTATCAAGAACAACCAACAGAACACTTCCTTTTCCACTCAGTAACCTGTATAGCACCAGCTTCCTGGCAAGAAAAACGGAAAAAGAGAGAAGAACAGAAAAGGTATATTGCTGAAGTTTTACTTCCCACAAGAAGTTAAAAATAAATAAAACAGGCATATGATTTTATGATTTTTGGTTTGTTTTGTTTGTTTTTTTAAAATGGTGAAACAGCTGAATTTAATGGAACACATCTTCATTGCCAGAATATAAAGATAACATTTGAATGGAGAAGTATCTAATACAAATCATAGTGAAAATTATTTGTGCATTTTGAATTTCAAATTTACAACCTTAAGGGTGATTAATTATATATGTATACTAATTTAAACACAACTTCCCAAACTCATAATGATACCTACTGATTAGTGAACCTGCATTCCTGGACAAATCACACAAATACTCCTTCTCATCGCCAGCTCCTCAACCACTTCATCAGCTCTAGAAGCATTTAAAGAGCACAAGACTAATGATTCTGCTAACCTCCTCTGTAAAAACATACACAGAAGACATATTCTGGCCAAAGTAATGATAACACACAACAGGAAAACCTTATTTCTGTGTTATCCATCAACATGCATGAACTACTTTGCAAACTGCCTTTAGGTGTAAAGAGGTACAGAAAGAGGCTCAGAAAGGAGGACAAGGAGACAGAAACACCTCCCTGCCTCTCAACAAGGTA